GACTAAATTTACTGAAGAGAATGTTATTCAATGTGGTATACACATTGGAAGGCTCACCTTTAATATGAGTAGGCAGATCCAAACAACCAGGGCCTACATGGAACAAAAAGGTAGGGGAGGGAAGAACCCATTCTCTCTTCCAGAGACAGCAGGCCCGACAGCATGTCCTTCTCCTGTCCTTCAACATCAGAACTCCAGGTGCTCTGGCCACTGGACTCTAGGACTCAACAGCGACCCCTCTCCACCCCTACCTTAAGTTCCTGGGTCTTAGGCCTTGGACTGAGAGTTACTCCCCTAGCTTTCCTGGTTCTAAGGCTCTTCAACTTGCCTGGGCCTGGATTCTCTAGTTCTCCAGCTTCCAGACAAACTATACGGGGACTTCTCAACCTCCATAATGCCTTAATAAATCCCTCTCATACATATCTCTCTCTAAATCCTACCAGCCACATCTCTCTGGATACCCTGACTAAAACCCCAAGTATTTTTCTACCAGTATAAATAGTTAGAACTACTAGCTGATAAGGACAGTATATATGATTGTACCATTATATTCTATAAAAGTAACTGTAACTGGGCAGTATCCTTAGCCAGTTTGGAGTCATTAAATACCCTCACTAATGGCTAACTTCTATTACTTTATAAAACCTTAATTGTAGAAAGTGATCACAAAAAATTTAATAAATTAATCTTTTTCTTTTTTTAAAACAGAGTCTGTTTCCTCAGCTATACTGCAGTGCCATCATTATAGCTTACCACAATCTCAAACTCCTTGGCTCGAACAATCCTCCTGCCTCAGTCTCCCAACTAGCTGGGGCTATAGGCATATGCCTTGATGACTGCCTAATTTTTCTATGTTTAGTAGAGACAGGGATTTCCCTCCTGCTCAGGTTGGTCTCTTAACTCCTGACCTCAAGCAATCTTCCCACCTTGGCCTCCCAGAGTGCTATGAGTACATGCAAAAGCCACCATGCCCAGCTTAAAATAATCCTATAACCCAGTGGTTCTCAACCTGTGGCTTGTGACCCCTTTGGGGGTTGAATGACCCTTGCACAGGGTCACCTAAGACCATCCTGCATATCAAATATTTACATTGCAATTCATAACAGTAGCAAAATTACAGTTATGAAGTAGCAACAAAAATAATTTTATGGTGGCTGTCACCACAACATGAGGAACCATATTAAATGGTTGTGGCATTAGGAAAGTTGAGAACCGCTGCTATAACCAAAGATCTCTTACTGTTTTTTTATGAGAATAAGATTATCATTTTAAATAACTTAAGAAAAGTGAAAAGTCATGTACCACTTGAATAATTCTATATAGTACCAAAAAAATAACTGATTTTGACTTTTAAAAAAAGACAATGAACTCTTCTCTGCTATATATAGATTTTTTTAAGTAAATGGAGATAAAAGTTTACATTTCTCTTTCTAGAAGGGTGGGGTATTTTTCCATTTAAAAAGCTCTAATGCACAAAAGTAATAAACCTCTGTTTAAAGTTTAAAACTAAGCCTTCTGAATAATATTAAATAATTTATGTATTTTTCCACTTAACATATTTTGTTCTTTCTTCATTCTTAGACACCACAGTAGTTAGCTTCAAAGAGCGTTCCCAATGATCCCACCTGGACCTGGCGACTTACTCCTACTCAACAGAGTACAGAGCAGTGAAGGGCTGCCCCTTTTCAGATAACACTACAGGAGCACTGTGCCGTCCACCTTGCTCAGCCCTCCTGCCGGCTGGCTCTGCTAGAAGCTGCTGCCAAGTCGTGGGCTGGCCTAGAAGAAAGCTCACATGGCAAAGAACTAAGATTGGCTTTAGCAAATGGCTCACACCCTTGGCCAAACAACAAGTGAATTAACTAAGTGCTGCCCGCAACCATCCAAGTAAGTAGAAGCATCTCCTCCCTGGGGACCTTCGGATGAGACCTCAGCCTTAGCAGATGCAGTGAGTGCAGCTGTGTGGGAGACTCCGTGCCAGAGGACCCAGCTAGGCCATACCCAGAGTCCTGATCAACAAAAGCAGATGTATGTTGTTTTAAGCTGCTAAGTTTTGGAACAGTGTGTTATAGAGTACTATACATTCAGTTCTGTCCCCCCAAAATTCATGTGGAAATCTTAACAAGCCCCCCCCAGGACTTCAAAATGTGATGTTATTTTGTTTACATGGATGGAGTGGGAACATATTCTTCTTAGCAAAGTATCTCAAGAATGGAAGAAAAAGTATCCAATGTACTCAGTCCCACTATGAAACTAATTTCATATGAAAGCTATAACCCAATTATTGCCCAAGAATATGGGGAAAGTGGAAAGGGAGGGGAGGGGAGGAGGGAGGATGGGTGGAGGGAAATTGGTGGGACCACACCTATGGTGCATCTTACAAGGGTACATGTGCAACTTACTTAATGTAGAATATAAATGTCTTAACATAATAACTACGAAAATGCCATGAAGGCTATGTTAACCAATTTGGTGAAAATATTTCAAATTGTATATAAAACCAGCACATTGTACCCCATGACTGCATTAAGGTACACAGCGATGATTTAATAAAAAAGAAAGAAAGAAAGAAAGAAAGAAAGAAAGAAAGAAAGAAAGAGTGATGTTATTTGAAAATAAGATATTTACAGAGGTAATTAAGATAGGTCATTAGGACATGCTGCCTCCAGGTGACTAATATCCTTAGAAATGTGGACAAAAAACACAGGGAAGAAAGATGATGTGAAGAGGCAGGAAAGGTGGCCATCTGCAGCCTAGGAAACAGGCCCGGACTGGGCCTCAGAAGGAAGGACCCTCCAGCACCTTCATCTCAGACTTCCAGCCCCAGACCACAAGGCAATGCGTTTCTGCTGGGTAAGCCACCCACTGTGTGGTACTCTGTTACAGCAGCCCTACACACTAACATAAGTAGCAAGAGATGACTACATAAACAGAATTCAAAATAACTTTTATAAACAATACCAAAATTAGCCTCCATGCAGGATATAAGTAGATACCCAAAAGTATTCATTCCAAAAAAAGATTATTAGTCCATAGCAGAAAATCTCAGGACCACACATTTTAGGGAACTGGGACCCCTGCAATCATATAATCTACTCATTTCAACATATGATGATATGATGATAATATACCAGGAACTATTTTGAACACTTAACATATATTAATTCCTCATAACAACCCACGGGCCACTACTATCATCAACTCCATTTTAAGATAAAGAAACTAATGTCCAGAATTAAAGTGACACCGTTCGAAGTGGCAATGCCAAGATTTGAATAAACTGAGAAGCACAAAAAAAAAGTAACTTAAAATCATAGTTGGTTGCTGAGTGGGGACAAAATATAATGGTACTGTCGCCTACATTCAGATCTTTTTTCTCAAAAAGTCAAATAAAAGTTTTTCTTTTGCTTGCTGTATCTATTGTTTGTAATATTGCTACCTTAGAAATATACAATTTACTTATCTATCTACCTTCTTCCTCTAACCAATTAAAATGGTCTCATACTTTTTTCCACTCCCTGAATCCGAAAACCCTGCCCTTAAAATCCGAATACTTTTCTTGCACTTACATTATTCTTTTTTGTATATAGAAACTTAGGGTTTCATTTGTACACAGTTTGGGAAACACAGCTTTAACCAAACCTTTGATCCCAAATATTACAAAATGCACAAATAGTAGTTCCCCTTGTCCACAGTTTCATTTCCATGGTTTCAGCTATTTGCAGTACAATATCATAAAACAGTATATGAGAGAGAGAAACCACATTCACATAAATTACTCTATTGATTAATATTATTGTCATTAATACTTGGCTATACCTAATTTATAAATTAAACTCTATCATAGGAATGCATGTGTAGGGAAAATCAGTATATATAGGGTTCAGTACTATCTGGGGTTTTAGGTATCCACTGGGGTTCATGACCTCCCCAGACAAGGGGGGAACACTACTCTAATACACTATACTCCATTGGTAGGAGTAAGTTAGATCCATCCGAGAGAACAGGCTTTGAAACAAGGAAAGCCAGTCTGAATGTCTAAAATTATTATGCCCTATGCCACAACATGTCCAGGAATAAGAATCAGAGTCTGTTCTGGGAAATCGAGGACAAGGTACTTGAGAATTAGCTTTTCTTCAGGAGTCTGAACTGTAAGATAAAAAGCTTGGGAGGCAGTGGCAGCTATGCTTCCCAGTACTAGGAACAGAACCATGAGGATCGCCTGTTTCCACAGAGACAGAAAAGAATGAGACAGACAGGCGGAGGAGAGGCGCTCTGCTGAGCCTGCAGGAGCCTGACTGTGTGTGGGTCCCAGGCTCCCATTCTGCAGTCCAGCTGCGCTTCTATCCTTGGATCCTGTGGGGTTTACTGGGATACTCCCTAAGCATGATCATTTCTTTTGGTCATTAATAATTAACAATTTGAATTGACTCACTGGCAATCACTGGAAAACATGGTTATAAAGGCATCCTCTCTAAATCTGAAGAACATTATTTAAAAAATTTGCAACTTTGTGTAAAAGGTAAACTTTTCAATAACAAAGTAAAATCAAACACTAAAACTAAGGTAACTGAGTAGCCATAGTATTCCCAAGTGCCCCCCAACATAGTTTATTGTTTAAACTAGTCAAAGTATCTATGATATAATACCTTAAAGGGGTCCAAAGTCCATGCTTTAATAATACTAGATTTTCCAGGAAAAAACAAAAGGTGAAATAATGCTTTAAAAGTATGATTTTATCCCTTTATAGGTACCTATATCAAAAGCAGCAGTAATTTAAAGCCAGAATTGAAACTGAAGATAAGGCATTTTAATGAAGCCCTTGCCTGGTGTAAAAAACTTAGAATAAACAAGGAAAGATCGCTTGCCCAAGTCTACCCAGCCATCAGTGGTCAAGGACGAAACCCAGCTCTTCCAAAACCCTGCAATGATGCAGCAAAGACCATCATGATTCTGCTTCTGGCTCCTTTTGCAACAGATAAAGCAATCCTCAAACTGACCTGACTCTCTGTTCTGGGCTGGCATGAACCTGCGTGGAAACAGTAAGAATGGCAGGCACTTCCTTCCTGAAGCAGATGTGCAGAAGTATTATACCTGTAATGAGAAAAGACAAAGAAAACTAAGTTTATGTTCAGAATATAAACTGATTCAACATCATGAGTCATTCAGTTTCTATAGATCATCTATCTCCTTACTTATTTAAGGATGGAACTTAAAACACATTATTTAAGATAGATAAAATTTAATATTAAAAATAAAACCCCATCAGGAGATGCCTATGGCTCAGTGAATAGGGCACCAGCCCCTTATACCAAGGGTGGCAGGTTCAAACCCAGCCTTGGCCAGACTGCAACAAAAAATAGCTGGGCATTGTGGTGGGTACCTGTGGTCCCAGCTACTTGGGAGGCTGAGGCAAGAGAATTGCCTAAGCCCAAGAGCTGGAGGTTGCTGTGAGCTGTGACTCCACAGCACTCTGCTGAGGGCAACTAAGTGAGACTCTGTCTCTTAAAAAAAAAAAAAACCATCAAGGTCAGGCACAGTGGCTCATGCTTATAATCCCAGCACTTTTGGAGGTTGAGGTAGAAAGACTGCTTGAAGCCAAGAGTTTGAGACCAGGTAAGGTGATAACACAAGACCTTACCTCTACAAAATAAAATAAGTAAAATAAGTTAGCAAGGTGTGGCTACTGAGGAGAGTAAGGCAGGAGAATCACCTAAGCCTAGGAGTTCTAGCTTGCAGAGAACTCTGTCTACAACACTGTTCTCTAGCATGGGTAACAAAGTAAGACCAATTCTAAAAAAAAAAAAAGGAATCCACTGGAAATAGTCATTTATAGCTGGTTTCTCTACTATCTCATTCAGCTTCTACATTTTACTGATGAAGAAGAAGTGTGGAATGAATCAGTAACAACAGTTATTTAGTGACAGAGTCAGGTTCAGAACCCAATTCTTCCCACTTCCACTCTGGTATTCATTTACAAGGCAGACAACAAAGTTCACAAACTCAAACCAGAAAAAGTGCTGTGAATTTCACTCCCGCATGTCACTGTGGCCACCTTCGAGTACCCCCCAAAGGAAGCTATGCATCGATGCCAGCGCCTAGTCCATCCTTCAAAGCACTTTTTCTAGACACAAACATAATTGTCTGACTGTGTTTGTATCACAGACCATGCTCTCTTTTTTGGAGGAAACAAAAATTCATGTTATTTCTCTTGGTGTTTTTGCCGAGCACCTGCAGATAAAGGTAGGACAGAGCTAAACTGATTTGCTCTGAATTAAGGTGCTACCCCACTCAAAGGTCAGACTCCAGCCTTGAGTTAGTGTGCCTTACATAGGGTATTTAAATGTTTTATTTACCATTCAATATCTCAATATGAAAACACCAGCATTTGAATCAGGAGATCTCGTTTCTGGTCTTTCTTAATAATTCTGTACTCAACAAGTTCTACGGTATAGTCAACTACTTCTTTGAAACCAAATTTCCATCGAAACCAAATCTCCCTTATTCAAAATGAAATGCTTGGATTAATTCCCAGAGGCCTTCTAACTCTAAAATGATATGCCTAAAAATGCCCTCATCTTTAGCAACATTCTGCTTTCCTACTCAGCTGTTTTTGTCATATAACTTTTATGTTAGTCCCTTTGATCATATTATAGTAGTTCTTATAAAATCAGTAATATTGCCTTCAAATATATAGGTAATTATTGAAAAACCTATTCAACAATAACCTAGTTTTGCTGTGTATCTCATTTTTGGCTAATTCTTATTTTATAGGAAGCCAGCTAGAAGTAGAAGGAAAAGTATTCTTTAAAAGCCTACCTTTTGGGGGCAGGAGTGGTGGTTCATGCCTGTAATCCTAGCACACTGGGAGGCCAGGGCAGGTAGATTGCTTAAGCTCAAAAGTTCAAGATCAGGTTCGGCGCCTGTATCCCAGAGGCTAGGGCACCAGCCACGTACACTAGCCACGTACACTGGGGCTGGTGGGTTTGAACCTGGCCCGGACCTGCCAAACAACGATGACAACTACTACAATGACAACAAGAAAAATAGCCATGCATTCTGGCAGGTGCCTATGGTCTCAGATCTTTAGGAAGTTAAGGCAAGGGAATTGCTTAAGCCCAATAGTTTGAGGTTGCTGTGAGCTGAGATGCCATGGCTTTATACTGAGGGAGACATAGTGAAACTCCTTGTCTCAAAAAAAAAAAAAAAAAAAAAAGTCAAGATCGGCTTAAGCAATAGTGAGACTCTGCCTCTACTAAAAATAGAAAAAACTAGCCAAGTGTCATGGTGATGCCTGTAGCCCCAGCTACTCAGGAGTCTGAGGCAAGAGGATCACTTGAGCCCAAGAGTTTGAGGTGGCTGTGAGCTGTGACACCATAGCCCTCTACCAAGGGCAACATAAACAGACTCTGTCTCAAAACAAAACAAAACAAAACAAACAAACAAAAACCCCCCAAGGCTTTAATAAGACAAGATGAGATACCTCTAGTTACATATAGGACTTCAGGGGGCAGCAGGAGAGGAGGCAGAAGTGATGACATGCCTCCTCAATTGTGACTTCGGAGTAGGGCTTCATTACCTTTTAATAATTAATCACTACATACAACAACTTTTTGCAACATGTTCATTTCAAAGTAAAACAGCAAAATGAATTTTCAGACACGGTCATCTAACTCCAGAAACTGAATGTCGGTACTGCTCTGCGGACTTGCTCTTCCTCTGTTCCATTCCATGCCCCGCCCTTCCGAGTTTACAAAACAAGATAATCTGAATAATCTGGGAACAACTAGATTTCTGACACAAAATAATCATTCTAAAATTTTTCCAAAAGGCTAAGTGATAACAATGATAATAACCCCAGAGACTTCAGTATAAGTCTTGTAGCTGATACTTCCATTAAGTTATCAATACGGTAAATAGTTCACCCAAAGTTAGATTTAGACTCTGGCCCTCCACAGAAGGACTCATTTATCTAACACTTACAATGCCTGGCTTACAGAGCGAGCCAAAACACCAACACACAGGAAAGTATTATAAAAATGTTCATTCCAAACTGGTTCAAGACAAAGAAACAAGCTCTTTATAAACGAGGAAAGTCTAAAAATAATGAATAGATTGTTTTAAATGTTTTAGGTATTTTGTCTGAAAATAATTTTAAACTTACAGAAAAGTTACAAACATAAGGACACAAAAATCGTTCCCACCCAGATTCACACATCACTAAGGCGACCTCTGCTTGATCACTTGTGCTCACATGCTCTCTTAAGTTTACCTGTCACTCTTACACAAACACTCACGTTCACATTCTTCCCCAAGGGAATTAGTCCTTTGCTCTTTTGTTTCCATGTGCATTTCCTTAGTGATATTCTCTTTTATAACCAAAGCAGTTAATAACTTCAGTAAATGTAACATTGTTACAGTATTTTTATCCCTTCTACCATCTGTATTCTGACTTCTCAAGTGATCCAATAACACCCCTCTGGTACTTTCCCCTCCTTCCGGACAGCAGCCAGGCCGGGTCGGTGTTAGTGTCTGTCTCTCTCTCTAGCTTCCTTCAGAGCAGAACACTTCCACAGCCTCTGTCTCTTAGGACATTCACTGTTTTAAGAAACAGTCTGAGTGTCCCTACTTTTTTATAAGTAGAGCAGTCCTCTTTATGGATTGGTCTGATGTTTCCAGATCAGACTGAGGTTATGTAGTCTTGGCCAGAATACTACAAAGGAGATGATGTGTCCCCTCAGAGTGTCAGTATCTGGAGTCACATGGTGGCCACGTGCCCCAGTCTGCTGCAGGAGCTCACCAATGCATAATCACTATTTTATCCCTTACAAGAAATCTAGCATGTGGGGAGATGTATTAAGACCAAGGAAACACCTTACTCCTCATCAGTATCTTCCCTCGATTCTGTTAAGATTTTTGTCCTACCTAATCTTTATCATGCTGGCTGCAAAATGATGATTCTCTAACTCCACAACTCAGAATTCTTCTATAAGCAAGAGTCCTCCTTTCTCCTCTATTTATTTACATATTTACCAGTTTAATATCATTACAGATTAATTCCTATTTTTAACAGCTTATAATTTATTATTAGACTTCTTTGATGACTAAATTATCACAAATTTGACTAACAGAAATGCCAACAAGCTTCCCGTAACATGTTTCTATTCTTAAAAAAACACTTTCCTATTTCCTAGCATTAAAATAATGATCCAGGCTCACCTGGTCTATACCCTGCCCAGGCCTGAAATCAGCTATTTCTCTAAGGAGTTCTGGTTCCTTTGAGTTGGCAATGATATTAGAAACCAAGATTTGGGAGTTAGGTGGGCTCTCGTCTTGGTCTTTTTGCTGGACACAGCTAGGAAGAATACATACACACACACACACATGCATACAAATTTACGTCCATATAGCCATACACAAACACACTTAAAAAATAATGAATTCACACCGATACCCCAATTCCAATCTAACCCCCAGGGGATTTGTTTTGCCCTCCCCCTCCCATATTTGTACGCCCTTTCTTCCTTAGGGAGTATCCTCCAAGAAACTCAAAATATTTACTCAATCCCCAATACACCTAACAAAGTCCCAGAAGTGCTTTGTCCTTATCACTGCAAAAAATAAACCTAACGGAAAGAGTTCAAGATTTGCTCACAACACCTCCCTCTTACCACTACGCAAACTGAGGACATACAGTCGTATGTTATAGTAATAAGCCACTTAGATTCACTCTTTATTGCTGTCAATGTGGATAGTACTAATTTAACATTAGCCAGGTTTGTTTCTGTGGATTGTTCCCCTCCAGGCTCATCTTTTTTTTCAATATGGAAAGAAAATGTTCTGAAATGTCAAAACTATGTAAAAAGGCATACTCTGAAGTCACTATCTCCCATAAACCTTTGGCCCCATTATTTCCTTTTCATAAAGACAAGTGATCCAATATATGTAAGGTGACCAGATTTTAACATTGGTAAAGCAGGACACCATTGGGGGGAGGGTGCGCTAACAACAATGGAAATTTTGATAAGCAGATCTCAATAATCAGTTCTCAACAATTATTTGTTGTTATTAAAGTTTAACATTATAAAATTAAC